TCTCCAACAGCCTTCGCCAACGCTCACCTTGCGCTCCCGACTTTGCCTTCCTCCGCCAGCGTTTCCTCGCCTGCGCTACGTGACACATATCCACAAGTACGAATACTCTGGTACCACCGAGTATCGCAAGATTTCACGAAGAAGTACTGTAACAAACAACCAGCACTTGCACCTTGCATAATGGCGACATACTATATTTTTATGAAAAATGAAGAGACTAGCAGCCGTTGTATAATAAAGCAGCTTCGGGAAAGGGCACAAGTGTGCAAAGACTCGGTAAATTTTCGTTTTCTCAATTTTTTCGAGCTGTAAACCTCAGGTGAAAAGACCTGGATTCAGTCGTCAATTGGCTAAAGAACGCAAACACTAAACATGAAAATGCAAATTGTGAACGAAGTGAGCTCTCCACGAAAACGCCTTCGAAGTGCCCCCGCAAATGTGCCCGATTTCGGCATGAACGAATCATATGAAGGCAGATCTGTGAATGATAGTGTCTGCAAATGCTTAGAAAACTCAATCCATTTTGAAATGGACGACGTTGATGGGTCTAGTATCCGGAATGAATACAACAGACAAGAAACTTCCGAAAAGCCTCGGCTTTGATTTGTTTTCACAATTTCCCGATTTTGAAGCATACCGTTCTCTAAATGCGACAGCGGTTAATATCAACAGCTTGTCGCGTTGCACGGAAATAAAGGAAAGAACACGAGGTGGAACTAACAAGCTTTGCATTCGCTCAATGCGAATAGCAAAAGCAGGACTAAGCTGCTGATAGATCGTTCATTGGTCTCTCCTCATTTCGTGTGGATTGTATGGAAGAAGTCTCGACCGATACTCATAAATTTCTTCAAGTTGATTCCTCTCTAAATTCCGATAAAGACGGCGAATGTGTTTCGCAATTTCCCAATTTCGAAGGTAGACCACTCTCCAAATGCGACAACGGTGAATATCAACAGCTTGTCGCGTTGCAAGGAAATGAAAAAAGAACAGGAGGTGGTACCGACAAGCTTTGCATGTGCTCAGTGTGAATCGTGAGCAACGTCGACTGTTGCGCAAAAGTAGGGCTGAATCTGCTGATAGACCTTTCATCAGTTACCTCGAGACAATTCTCCGTGGGGAGGCATCAATGAGAAAGTTTAAGTTTTAACAAGTTCTGGCTCGACTCATCGAGAGACATATGACAGAACCGGTCGGTGACAAGGGGTACGCTCGCTACCCTTCACTCACATTTTCTCTGCATTGATGACGCGATATGCGCCAAAATGTCGTAAAATTTTAGCTTAAATCCGTTATTTGGTGAGCTTGATTGCGCTGTGATTATGAATCAAATGCTCACCTCGCCGTGGCCAACCACCGGCACGCCTATACATGGGGGCTTTTCGATCGAACAGAGAGCAAACGAGTGACCAGAAGTCGCTGCGCGTGCGAGCTCAAAGCTACAGTGGTGTCAGTGCAAGATTCGTATTGTGCGAATGGCTAGCAACGATACTGCATCACAATCTAGCATGGGCTTGGACCTGATGTACTCGAGCTGAATCCACGTGACCGCAGCAATGAAGCAAGAATTGCGCTACATGAAGCACCACAATGGAATGTCGATGCTGAGACGATTACAATCATTTCTTACCGATACGGTACCACGTATGTGTGACGCGACATTGGAAATTGAAACATGGGAGATTTTTTCAACTTTCTTGGTAGAGTATTCTCTGCACAATGTGTGCAGCCGCAGAAGAGATTCCGTGAGTTTTTGGAGGGCGCTGATTGGAACCTCATGTAACACACACTCAAGTTTGATGAACTTAGTGCTCCTTTTGCTGCTTTGAGCGAAGGGAAGACGGAAGACGAAGTTTGGTGATCCTTCTCGGAAGCTTGCCAGCCAAATATGATGCTATTGTTTGTATCATTGAGACTCACAACGCGGTGAATGGTTAGACGCGAATGAATTACTTCGTCGTGACTGGAGTGAAGGAGCAAGTGCTCAAGTCTTTTAATTAAACGTGGATTAGACGCCAATTGTGAGCGTCGGTGATTAAAAGGCTATGACAACAACAACGAAGGTAGCAAGAACAGAAACCAATCTCAAGAAGCAGTCCCAATGGCAACGTTATGATAGCGAGGAAAACGGTCGTAAGAAGGTTGCATGTCCACATCGAAGGATTGATGGTGGAGGGGACAATTTTGTGTTTCCAGCTACCAGCCATGCTCCGTATCAGCCTCGGCATTATTGTTGCACAGTGAGAACAGTTTTCACATGACCGATTCTCGTTATGACTTCGTTGAGTACCATGATCTCGACCATTCTATTAAGATTGCTATTGCCAATGGTCAGCGTCTCCTAGCTACCGATGATGATTTCGTTCGTTTCCAGGTGAACGATATTGTACGTGTGAATGTGTTACATGTTCCGTTGCTGAATAAAAAGCTGGTGTCTATTTTCAGCATCGGTTGCGCGTACTGTGGCGGTATAATTTAAGGGAAACCAAGCAGATGTGTTGGTGAACGAAAGGAAAGTTACTTGTCTGGAGTGCGAACCACATGGCCGCATTCAAGGTTTAATTTGCCGGCGCAGTAACCCAATCCAAACGTGTGCTTTGGCACGCAAGCCTGAATTACATCATACAACCACGATTGGATGTGTTGTCCAAGGTGATGGATAGTGTTTCAGTGCTGGGTAAATTGAGGGTATCTGCGATGGCTGTGCGCGTGGAAAGACGTCGATGAGTCGGACCTTGGACCATTCGGGAAGTAAAATGAAGACTAACGAGCCTTTTGAGATTTTCAATAGCGGTAAAATGGGTCCATTCAAGCCAAAGTTGAAGGTAGGCACATACGCTTTAGCGTTCATTACTTACTTTAGTCGTTTGGTATTCGTGTACTTGAATGCCTTAAAGCTGTTTCAGAACATTCAATTTCACTTGAACAAATGCTGCGCCTCGCATAGTATTGAGCTCTAAAAGTCTGCGCACTTTTCTCCGCACCAGAACGATGTCACGGAACGGATAAGTCGTGCTCAATTCGTGCATGTTTTGACTAAACTCAAATGGATTCAATGTGGTTGGGAGACGTGATGATGGCGATCGTACATTACCAAAATTGCTTGGTCGAATTCAAGTCCTTTGCAAGAACTCACAGGAATGAAGCAAGCCTTTGATCATCATTGTGTGGTAGGAGATAAAGGATGGTGCTCGTTGACTGGAGCAAGACATCGAAATCGTAAAGTAAGGCGCATCATTGGATGTTTTTTGGGTGCGCTGAAGGAGTATATTTTTTTGTGTTTGGAACTACGATGATGATTGCTTGGTGACAATGCACAGTCACCGTCTAAAGCGACGATATAGGGGTTTGACCGACGTCGACGAAGTGTTGTAAATGACAATATTATCACATCTAGTCTACAGAATCTAAAACCTTCGGTAGTTGAGATGTCTCAAGCTCAAGGCGGTAACGATGACGAGGCTACACGAAACACTACCCTCTGGGGTACTTGTCACTTTGATTCCACATACGCTTCAACAGACTCACAGTTACGTGGTCTCGGTAGCACGGAACAAGGCTACTGTCATCCCGACCGTCCTACTTACCCTGTTTATGCTTGTCTTGTTGACAGAAACGGTAAATTTCATTTGCTCACCGTCTACGACTAAGGGTTTATGATTTATCGAATGTGCCTCGACTCACAGATGGTTCTGTAACTGACGATGAACCTTCTCAGCCGCAGAGAAAGCGGTCAGGATGGATGGGTATGAGATTGCTCTAGTTGCAGGTAAAGTTTCACTGACGTATGCAGAAGCGATGACATAACCAAATGCAAACAAACGAAAAGAAGCTTTTGTGAAGTGAAACTTTGTCTTAAAACTTTGTCTTGATTTCACAATCACACCTGGAACATCCAAAAGGAGTCTAAATCATCACGCACAAATGGGTGCAAGCATGATGAACATGGGGACACCGCAAGGTACAAAGCTCGAATTTTTGCCCTTGAGTATCTCCAGACTCCCGGTCATTATCACGCGACAACCTACTCACCCGTTGCGAGTTTGAACACAAGTCGTCCGTCGCGACTACATCATTCACCAATTTGACATTGAGACAGCTTTTCTATATAGTGACGATGTTTATATAGACAGAGCACATGGTATTCGAGCTGCTGCCGGCTCTGTGCTCAAGCTTCGTCGCAGTCTGTATTGATGCAAGCAATCAGCAGCCGTGTGGTTCGAAAGCATTTGTGCCGTGTCTGAAAGGATGGGACAAAAAATAATGTCGTGCGAATTCGTGTCAAAAAGGTGATGATTATCAAGCTTCAGTAAGGGTTCTGCTTTACGTTGATAATTTGTTGGTTTAAAGCAAGTCAGACTTCCTATGAGCGGGTTCGGTATCTCAATTAACAGTCAAGTCTCTGGGTAAAGGTCGATTCGTTTAGGGAATGAAATTGACTACACGCAAAAATAAGGAGTTTATCGGCGAAGCAAACGCAATTTATTGTGCGCATGTTGGAGTGATCTGGTCAAGTTGATGATAATCCAGTTCGTATTCCACTTGTGGAAGGCCAAGCAAAAATCAATCTGACACCGCGAGGGCTAAGCACATCGACCTCGGTACATTTTGTCCCTAATCACGTGGAAAACAACAACATCAAGGTTAGCTACGTACCGTCAAGTGATCAAATGGCCGACACCACGCTTCATCGAGCTCCTTGAGTCACTCAGAACGATCGACTGTCAAGTTGAGAAGGATCTTGAAAGTGGACCTTTATTGGAATGTTTCACGGTGACGTTCACACTGGTCGACTTGAGAGTCAAAATATTGGTCGTATCTGGAAAGATGGTGAATAATGGTGTTCCTGAGAACGAGTGTCGATGTCTTAGGATGAAAGACTGAGATTCTAGTTTTTATCCGTCGATCAACTTACTTCCGGAACTAATCTGTCCGACTTTAGTGACTCAACACATTGTCTCAGCAAGTGTTATATTTCGATGAAAATGCGTCTATCCTCATTTAATCACTTTTTTAGCTTTGATAACGATGTAACTCATTCCATTCTCAGCCTACTCGCAAAACTTCCACAGTACAACCTACATTATTCTGAATGTTATGATAAAAAACTAATATCGTCCCGTGAAGTCAATGAACAATAGCCATGCCGACTTACACTATTCTTAGCAAGAATGTAATAACGTGTTTTTGGCAAGGATGTATGCACGTCATGTTATGCCACCCCAGTCAACCTTCGTCCCATTTAAATATTCTGATGTTTACTTGGTGCGAATATCAAATGCTAGAATGACGCCGATCGTGTGTTCATGTTAAGCCTTTATATGCTTCTACGCAAAGATGATTCGACGATATTATTAGTCTACGTGCTTGAGATCTCTTTTGACGGATAGGTGGTAAATAAAGAGGTTGTATGTAGAATTTGTTTTCATCACATTTGTTTTCAATCCTGCCTGCACTCATCATCAAAAATTTGTGGATGCCATTAGATCTACGAAGAATGCGGATGAAATGTCGACCAGCAGTTCTGGCCACCTGTCAGCACTACATTGCAAATGCACTCCTACGTACGCACTATCAGAAAGATGGTCATTCGGTTCTTTTGAGGCTATGATGGACACAAACGGATCATTAGCTCGTACTTGATTTAGAGATAGGTGCTCGTCCAACATGAATCTCTTGCGGTGTCGACATCAATCACATCATCTTAAATGTGATTGTAATATTTTTGTATATCTTGCTGGCATTCTTCTTTTTCCTCGTTGTCAGTACTTTGAGCCTCACTGATGCCCCTCAACCACTTGAGAAGTGTTTTTTTCTCCAAAAAGAAGAAAAACGACAAGCATTCAAGTTTCGCTGATAGTACAGCATTGATGATGAGTCAATCGGCTGGATGTCGTCCCAGCACGTGGAGTCAAAACACGTGGAGCTCCAATCACGATGATTTTCGCTGTCTTCGCTTTCTTGTCTGGAATGGTGGTGCCCCCGGCTTCACGCTGACAACATCCAGAGAGTCGGAAGCTGCATCTACATCGGACGAAGATGCTGAGTTGGTAGTCGATCGTATCACGTCGTTAAAGGTTTGGGAAGCCGGGGTTCGTCCAGGTGATGTATTGGAAACCGTTTCGGGCAAGCGGGTACATACTATGGACACTGAGGCAGCTATTGTGCTAGTCCAAATGTCTAAGAGTCCTTCGATCATACGATTTCGCTCGCCTAGATTTGGAAAACGCGTGCACTTTAATATTCATCTTGGACGTCAAAAACTAGGAATTTATTTTTCTGGAGATGGAAGGCGTGATGTCCCAATCGTTACTCGTGTCAGTCAAAGTATCCAGAAACTCAGTGATGTTTCTACTTCCCCTCGCATTCGTGTTGGCGACGTGCTTGTGTCAGTCAATGGCAAGGACGCAGTCACGCTCGGACTCAATGTAGTGACAAAATATCTTGAAACGTGCCCACGTCCTTTGACACTTACGTTTGAGCGCTACAAGAAAGATGGAAGCTCTGACCACTGCTTTTATAGCCAACCCGCAAGTGAAGAAATGGACGAACATTTTAGGCACTTAAACTCTCTCCGGCGTGCTGTTCCGAAATTGGCATTACCCGCTTTGACCCGAGAAGTTGCAAACCTTCGCAGCCGACAATTTTTTAATGCACTTAAATCAAGTGTTTCCCATTCGGCCTATCCTCGACTTCAGCAAGCTGATGACAAACCAAAAACCTCTGGAAGTAGTCATGAAATTCTGATTACATGGATCGAAGGGCCTTTGGGTTTGACACTGATTGAGGATGACATTTCTGGCGCTGTAATAGTAAATCGTTTGACTGGGAAAGGATCATCAGTCAATTTGGCGCGACTGAGACACGGTTATCAATTGTTGTCGATAAATGGTGAGCGACTTAGGCGCCGCACACTTGATGAATTACATCAAGATTTGGTAAGTCTTCGAAAGCCCGTGAAACTTTTGTTTAAGTCAGAAAAAACGAACGACGAGGAAAGCTCTTCACAAGAATGTTCCAATCCGTTGTCTCCTAACAATTTATCAGATCGTGACGTCGGGCTAAATGAAGGTGCTCATCGCGAATTGGCGTCGACTTCTGTCGCAGAGTGTCCTCGCTCCCAGCAAATACCTTCGAGTCACGTTGAGAACGAATACGAGGTGGCTTGGACCACCTCCCAATTAGGGCTTGAGCTTGAATTACCTCACTCATGGACGAGAGGTGATTCGTCTACTAGCTGTAAGTACCCGATTGTGCGCAAAATTTTGAAGAAATCCACGCTTGATCTTCCTCCTGACGCAATTGGGCATTTACTAATCTCTGTCAACAATCAGAAAGCTTCTCGGTTAAGTACAAAAGATTTTCGCATGCTATTACGACTTGCATCCAGACCAGCAGTACTCCGATTCCGCAGACAAGATGGTGTTCCAGGCTTTAAGCGGACATTCTTATCTAATATTTCGACTGACCGTGGAGAAGGCATGCACGCCAATGACACAGCATTTGAATTAGTATACACCATTCTCTGGAGCAAGGGAAAGCTGGGCATTCTGTTTGCCTGCTACGACGATGCTGATCATCAAAACGCTGTTGGGGTCTATGTAAAGCATATTGGACCTGGGCAGGCTCAAAGCTCAAAACTTGTAGCCGTTGGCGACATTCTCATTAGCATAAACGGACAAAATCTTCCTCCAAAGCCGACGTTTAAGAGGACCATGCGTTCATTGACTAATTTCAAGCAGCCTGTCACGCTTGGTTTCCGTCGACTCTCAGTTGAGCGCAGTGCAAAATAATTGTGGTATACTACTAGCTGTAATTCAAATGTGTTTATATTATTAATTCGGCTGTTACTCCCGTTTACTTCTCATCAACACTTCGCTTAACGCGCGTCAGCGTGCACAAGGCTGTTTCATGCAGTTCATCGTGTAAGGCATGCAATTATGTCGGAGCTTTTGCGAAAAATGTATCAGACACCTAAGTATTCGCAATTTGAACGTGATGGTTGACCGTCCCGCACTTTAACCAGTAGATAGCCCATCATTGGCTTTTACCACTTTGGAGTGATCCGATCTTTTGCATTCCAATGAAAAAGGATAACATCCTCCTTTAATTTCACAAGATCATTGTTGCAGCGCGCCAGTGTGTGCACTGCTGAGCTATTGCCTTTTATTTCGGCCTGTAGCAAGCGTTGGGTCTCCATTACCTCACCTTGAGAAATGGCAGGGATATCACTTGCTGGAACGAATACTACTTCAGTTGTAGCATTTTCACGTCCTTCTTGGTAAAAGCCCAACAAATGCATGCTGACATCAAAAGCCGGAAAACCAATAGCATTGCTAGAATTCAGTGTGACCATTCGTGCAACCACGTAGAACACTTGCATCTCTATTGCATCAGCGATCTGACTGCTGCTGCCACCGTTGTTGTTATTCCCACTGCTAGTTAGGTTTTGATAGAAGATCGGGTCGTTTGAGTCGTGGTCATCCAGTGACCGCATGAATTCGGTGAGTCCACCAGAGTTATTACGAAACAGCCCAGGAGGGCCCTCCATTCCGGTCAGACCACTCAATGCGCCTGATGTCCCGGAAGTTATCGTAGAAGAGCTATTGCTCATGGAAAAGTGATTTGCAGTGGCATTACTAGCAATTCTCGAGGTCATCATGCTCATCATTTGCTGATTTAATGATTTATCATCTGCAAGGGGATTGACGCCCATTAAGCTGGAATTCTGAGGGCTCACAAGCGTTGGCGTCTGGTTCTGCATTTGACCCATTGGCTTTACCGCTGCCTTTTGCGCGGCAGCCTGTGCACTTGCAATCATCGCTGGAAAGCGCTCAATACCTTTTAAAACAAAATCGAGGTGGCCCATCGTGTCAGTCGCATAAGTAAGTAACAGATTGGCAATCAAGCATTTTGTATCATGTTGGGCCGTCTCATACGTCATTACATCTTTGTAACGCCAGCACGCCGGGCATCGGTAAATAGGTCGTTCGGGGTCTGCCGTGCCGTCACCCTTGCTTTCGTAACCCACCGTTTGCCACTCCAGTTGATGAAGACCATTTACAACTCCACCGGTCCAGGTAAGAATGCTCTCCATAGCACCAGTTAGCGAGTTGGCAGACTGCGGACTTCCACCGACGCGCGGGGTTCCTGGTGAGGTGCCTTCCCCTGTGCGCAGTCTCTTTCGGCGATCTTCCGCAGTAAATGCGGCCGAACTAAACGCTCCAGCTAACATCATTTCGTGGTCCGCATTGGATGCTGGAGATGATGACGTCGACATTGGTGTTGACGCCCCAGCAATAATATGGTGAGTAATTTGAGCCGGCATGCTCCTTCCAGGTCGACGCTTATTGCGTTTTGAACGCACTGAGATGGACGAACTCAAATCGTAGGCAACATCAAAATTTAGTGGAGACTGTGCCGTATCGGCTTCCACCTTAAGCCGAAAAGCTTGTCCTTGATGGTTCTTAGACACATCTTCAATACGAAGCTTAAGCACAGCCTTGCCTGTTGAATCAATGGAACGTTCACAGTCCGGAGACATTTTGAGAATGTCCTGCTTAAGCACTGGGTGCTCATTCTCGTAGAGCAGCGTGACTCGCAGTGGCACAGGGCGATTGCCCACGCGCTCATTCTTGGCGTTAACGAGGAATATCGGCAGTGTCATACACTTGTCACGGCCGCCTTCATCTTTGTACCAGAGCTCGGGAAGCTTTTCCTGGATAAGCAATCGGTGCTGAATTACTGTCATTTCGGAAGTGAGAGCAGGTGTAACGTTTAGACTAAAATTCTCCTTCGTAGTGGAGGCTGAGATATGAATGACAAACTTGCGGTTGCCTAGAGCCATAGAGCACTCACTGATGCTCATGCGTAGCTTGCAAATACCGTCGCCATTCATAACGGGCTTCGTAATTGGATCAATGTGTAAGATATCCTTTTCGACAGGCATCATCTTTTCTGCGGCGTAAAGCTCTACATTAAGCGGGACAATTGCACCGGATTTGAGATGATCGGCTGCATCCACAAGATACACCGTAAGCTCAAAAGGTTCGTCTCGGTAAGGAAATTTGGGTGGACTTGGCTGAATTTTAAGTCGCAGACGCTCGCTGAAGACCTCGACGTCTGGATCTAACGCGGCGTTCGCAGCGGTCGAGGCGCTCGCCGGGGTGTATGTTTCCGTCATAAGCATGACGCGAGTGACAGGATCGTCAATTGGACTTTTGATAGGGTTGCAGATCGTCGTCTTTTGTACAGACCGAAGATACGCAGATCGTATTTTCACCCGGTTTCTAAGCGGCGTTCGTTTGTTTTCGTCGCGACTTCGGCGCAGCGTTTTCGCTTGTGCGTGCAAGCAAGGAAGGGTTCCACAGAGGCGTCTGTTGACCTATAATCAAGCATTAAGGATGACGGGAAGAGGGGGAGTAAAGAAAGAGCGAATATTTGTAAATCAAAGTTCCAGGACTTTGACGTGTACATAAAATCAGCAGGTACAATTAAAATTTGATGATTTAGCTGCTGAATTCTAATACGAAGCCAAGGCTTTTAGGAAAGATAGTTCCGATCCGTCAAAAAGGACATGAAAGTACTTCGCTTGACTATGGTAAAACACAGTGGGATATAAGCGGCTGCGTAAAAAGATTCCAGAGTCAGGAAAGTGCTGGAAAAACTCAGATCATGGAACCGAAGACTGCTATTGCACTTTTGTTTACCTTGGCAACATGTGAGGTCAAAACCATTAATCAATCGTTTGGTATTGATACGATTGATTAATGGTTTTGACCTCACATGTTGGTATCGAAACGATGGGTTCATTGCTCAAATTGAAGTCGAAAGCGCAGGTTATCGCCTCGGTTTGGTAATTTCATCAGTGAAACCAAGCTCTGATCGCAGCTGGCTTTAGCGGATGCTTCTAGGACTCAGGCGTTTCGGTTGTCGGGTAGCTGTGCGTCATTCGCTATACTGGTGTCGTCGGTACGCACTTCCATTATTAAAGGACACAAAATCACGCATACTTCTACTAGACACAAGGTCACGTGCACTTCTATAGACATAAGGTCACGTGCACTTCTATAGACACAAGGTCACGTGCACTACCACTCCGTTCGACGTTTTGCAAGAACTTTGGCCTTATCGATCTTCAACGTTGAGCCAGATAAAACCGTTATATCGCATGAAATGCGTATGTGCTATCGTTTTGAAATATGTATTTTACTTATTTCATTCGAGTTGTATAAAAACATTGAGACATAGGGTGAGACGTCAAAGTATTTAGCCGTCCCCAACCCTTGCCTCAAGTTTTTTCTCCAACTCAACAAATTTGATACAGTTTTTAGGAAACGATGTATCTTTCGTACTTAGTGCTCTTGGTGTCGCACATCCTTGTCAGGTATCCTGATCAAACCGACAAATTTTACATTAGTCAAAGTAATCACAACACACAGTGTATTCACGCACTCGCGTCTCTAAGACGACCTTAAAGTATAATGCATATAAAGAGTGACGCACCGAAACTTTGGACTGAGTTTACTTATTTTAAGATCAACAAGAAATGAGTGACTCTTGATGAAAGCGGCACGCCGTTCGGCGGCTCCGCGGATTTAAGCGCCGGTGGTGAGGAAATTATTTTAAAACTACAGAGATGGTAGGTGGGGTCATCTATTCTTAACGAGTAAGCCGTGTATGCACAAAAGAAGCGCAAAGAGATTGTCGATCGCTTTGCACAAAGAAAACTTTGACTCAACGAATCCACGTGAGCGACGAACAGATGCTCAATTACTCGGCTCAACCCATGAGCGGAATTCAAAGCCGCACAAATAACTAAATATTTAGTTTGCTCTTTTCTTTACTATATTTAAGGATCACACTTAGTTGCACTGCTCGAGATTAATAGTCCAAATGTCCCACGGACCTCTCCTTTACTGGGACCATCGTGGATTGATTATAATCAATCCAGAATTTCGCACATTTGTAATGAAGTGTGCTCTACACAACCGCTCAAAATTTTAAGGTGAACGCACACAATAGTTCGCTAGGTACCGTATTTAACTCTACTCCATCAAGATTTGAATCACATTGGGTTCACATTCATCTTTTTGACGCGCGAAAGCAAATCTCTTTTGCGTCTATGCGCGAAAGCCTTTTGCGCCAACGGATCGCAAAATCAAGAGTCCGACGAACATTTACCGATCACCATTTGGAGGAGCATCATTCGGGTAAATCTGTACCATCCTTGAGATATGTACCATCGGTACTCAATGCCAGTAAAGTGACAACTTATCACACTCAATCCTTGAATCGGGCGAGGAATACACGTCGCCTCACTTGGCTAACAGCTATACATATTAGAATCAGTGCAACAGGCCTATGACTACTACTTGGTACCGCGAAAATCAAATTTTGGAGCGGGGCTGTCGTAGCTCATTGCTTAGAGAGCGCTAAGCTAATGTAACGGGATTACACGAACCCAAATAACAGGGGTGTGTGCGTGTCACACGAGATGTGCATAACGTGACCACACACCCAAACAAGAATACGGGACGGGGCTAGATAGCCAGTGTTATGGATGTATTTAGATTTTACTATATATATTTAGTATATCAAGGAAAATCTAAACTTTTAACATTAGGATAAACGTATAAATAAAATCAATTTCGATTATGAACAGAAGTGCTCGTTTGCCTTGATAAGGTTTTGAAGTACTTTTAGAAGCAGCGGATCACATTCCGCTGCGCTAGTACTTGGTTCTTGTAAAGAACGAAAGGTCGATGACCTAAAAACGCTTCCTCAAGCGCGAAGCTACGGCAACCCCGCTGCATCTAAGGTCACCGACCTTACGTTCTTTTCGAGAGCTAGTACGAGTATAGCGGATCGCAATCCGCTACCTTAAAGTTCGAAAAGCCTTAACTAAGGCAAACGAGCACTTCTGTTCAAAATTGAAACTGTATTCATTGTTTTAGTTGCGGCAGAGCCACCAATATCTGGAAACAATAGATTTTCCCGACTATTATAGTAATGCCTAATTAATATAGTAATACGCATTACTACTGGCAATCCTGCCACGTGGTGGCTTCTTGTTACGATGTAGCCACATCA